GACTATTAAGCAGAGGTCGACAGACTGGGTCGCACACCATTATTGGTCGAAGTGTAATGACCCCATTCTGTGGCCCAATATCCTATTCATAAATTACCTCCATTACACATGAGTACATTACAAAGCCTTCACAGCATATATACAGTGAAAAGGAGGAGGTCTCTTTTGACAGACATTGTAATATGCCATTCTTCCCCCTTGTTATGTCTTCTTGTACAGCCACTTTGGAGACCCCTGGAAGAGAACATGTGAACTTGCTCAAGTGTGGCATGTCATTCTCTGCATAGAACCTTTAAAAGGCAAACATCTTCAACAAAGTTCCCTTAGATTTCCTTCAAAAGAGATCTCCGTCACCAGTCAGTAACTGGTAGGAATCATGCTAGATAAGAACTCAGACGCCGGGCTCGGTGGCTCAGCCTGTAATCCCGCGCCTTTGGGAGGCTGAGGTGAGTGGATTGCCTGAGCCCGCGGGTTCGAGACCCGCCTGGGCAGCAAGACCTCATCTCTACAATAAATAAAAAAATCAGCTGGGCATGATAGCGCATGCCTGTAACTCCGGCTACTCGGAAGGCTGAGGCGGAAGGATCGCCGGAGCCCAGCAGGTCGAGGCTGCGGTGGCCAGGAGCGGCCACTGCACTCCAGTCTGGGCGACAGAGTGAGACTCCGACTAAAAAAAAAAAAAAAAAGAGAACTCAGGCTCCCACTGCTCTCTCTTCAGCTTCCAGCCCTCTACCTGACTTTCTGATTGTGCTTGTCCCCAAAGGCTGCCACAGTTACACTTCATGAACATTTCCCACCATTCGGAAGCACAGACCCTATTATTTGTTAGTGACTCTATCTACACTGGAAGAGTTTGGCTGATAACATGATGGCTGTTTTCAATTTGGGGAAGAGGAAAGCACTTTGTTTAAACTGTATATTCTGAGAAGTGAAACCTACAGAGTTCTCTTGGGTGCAATTAAGCATTAGGTCCATAGTGGGGGTTCTTTTGCTTGGTTGGTGGTTGTTTTGTGGCTAAAAAATAAGACTACATAAAAATAAGACGGAAAAAACTATTTCCTCTGAAAACTGGCATATTATTAGCAAATAACACAGCATGTTTTTCTGTAGGTTTTACAGATAGCTAATTGCCATTATTAGATAACATTAAATTTGCTGTAGAATTTGTATATATGCTTCATGTTATTACTGTAGTTGATCTATAAGAACATCACCAAAGCAAACCAGATTGACAAAAGCATTCATCCAATTTGCCACAGCTCCTACAAATGAATGCATTTTGCAGCCAGGACCCATCAGCCCGAATGTACAGAGTCTCCACAGGACTACCCTCACCACATATGGGTGTTGGTTTGACAGGATTAAAAATGGGGAGAACTAGCTGATTACTGCCTCAAATGCCAGGAATGGCTTTCCAATGTAATGCCTGGTGAGTCTTTTCTGTCAAAAACGTTGTAGTCAGTCCTGGTTACCTTAGAGATGCCTTATCTCCCAGTGCACCTTCAGGAAACGGCAGCCTGCCCGCTGCTTCTATCTTAGCCAAGCCCAGCGATGTGAGTGTGGTTCCCTCTGACAAGGGACCGTTTACTGGAGTTACAACCAACTACAGAACTCGGTCCGTGTAGGATTTGGGGAACACGTTTTTATATCTTGATTTGAAAATTAAGAGAAATTAATTATGCATATGGGTATATGTATTTAAGGAGAAGTCATACGGCTGCTTTACATTATAAGTTAGGTCAGTTTTGCTGTTTCCGTACTTTTTACTTACCTTCGTCAAAGTATAACAAGGGCAGCTGTCTGGGCTCTGCCCAGAGAACTTTCCTGAATACCACTCACTCCATGATATCGGTTGCTTCTGTGCCTCATGCAGGGTGGGGGATGCATGAAAAAGGAGAAAGGCAGATATCACAAAGACTTTCTGAAAGACTTCTAAGATGTTATGACAGATTTTTTTACTTAAAAAAGGCTGATTTTTTTTTTTTTTTTTTGAGTTGGAGTCTTACTCTGTCATCCAGACCGGAGTGCAGTGGTATACTCATGGCCACCGCAGCCTCGACCTGCTGGGCTCAGGTGATCCTTCTGCCTCAGCCTTACAAGTAACTGGAACTACAGACACGTGCCACCATACCCAGCTAATTTTTTGATTTATTGTAGAGATGAGGTCTCGCCAAGTTGCCCAGGCTGATCTCAAACCCATGGGCTCAGGCAATCCTCTTACCTCAGCCTCCCAAAGTGCTGAGATTATAGGAGCCCAGCCAAAAGGCTGATTTTTTTTTAAAGAACACTATATTTTATGAGAATCAATCTTACCATTCTTAGTCATAAAGATAAATGTTATTTCATCTAACTAGAGTTTTTAATACACTTATTAGCAGCCAATTATTCCATTATTTTGTTTGAAGTGAACTTTCTATTATATTTTTCCCAATTATGTAAGTGAGCTGATTATGCAACTAAGAGGTTGATAAACATGGGAATTATTATAGGATCAACATTTTTTTTATGAGCTTACAGGTCAGGTTGTTTTTGGAATAACAAAAGGAATATGAAAAAAAAAATGCCCTCATCTACCCTGGATTCAGGTTTACCATTCTTAGGCTTGATTTAAATGCCTGGGTCTTAATCCCTTTTACAAATTAGCACAGGACCTTAGTCCAGATGTGAAAGGAAATTAGACTTTGACTTAAAACAACAAGACTACAGGCAGTGAAAAACCAGAAAACACTGAAGCAAAGTACTGATTAAATAACTACAGCAAAACCCTCACTTAATACAAATCCACTAATCAGGAACGTGTGAAAGGTGCAAGACCAAAGTGTACCTTTGGCCCAATTGTGTAAGAGTTTACTAAATCAGTTACTAGTGGAAAATATATTTCAGAGAGAAGGTTGGAACTTCGAAATAAATTGTTGCTACTATCCTTAGGTAATTTTAGACAATTACAATACTGAATGCTATCGTAGTTATAAATAATTCTTGTCCATAACTTAAATCCATCTTGAGCCTCTACTAAGTAAATCTTCCTTAACCTACTTACAGGATTTGCTGTAGTAATGAAAGTAGCCTTTCATTTTTAAAATGAAATGAAATGAATTTTAAAATGAAAATGAAAGCTTTTTCCTAAGTCAGTTTTCCTTAGAGCAAAGCAGGTTGTCAGATGCTCTGGTTTAATACAATACTTGATATCTGGAAGTAGCCTGCCTGTGTTCAAATCCTCCTTACACCATTTGGGCATGTTCCTTATGGCTGTGTCCATTTCCTCATCTGTAAAATGGGGGGAATAATAGCTAAAAGATTTTAAAACCGGGTACCGCTTAGAACAGTGCCTGGCCCTTAGAAAGTTAACTCCTGTTATATACAACCACAGGTCAGAAATGCAAGTTAGACTCGGTCACAACCCAGGGCATCACTGAGAGAAACTTCTGTGACATGGTGAACACTTAGATCATACAGATTTTTTTAGTCCCTTTTCTCAACGCTCAAGGGCATATTTTCACACCGCAGTGCATCACAAACGACTAGAAGTCTTTCTTTCTTCTGGCCTCCAGCCACCCAAACTAGCCTGCCAGGTACTTCTGGTTAATTATACATAAGTTTTATCCAAGCCTCCCCCTCCCTGTCTATGAACTGGTCTTCATTCTCTTTGCACTTCATGCCAGAATAGAATGCACCTCCTCCCTGAAGTCTTCCCCCTTCATCGCCCTCCACTATGATCAGCCCTTGACTTTGGAACCTCATTCCTCAGCTCGTTAGAGGCTTTCTGAATCGCCTGGTCATCATCTGAAATTTTTCACTAAAATGTGGAGTTTCAGCAACCCGTCCTGAACTGTCGGACCTCGGGCTCCAAACAAGACTCCTAAAGACACAAGAAGAAGAAGACTGGGGAGCTGCGACCAGTTTGGGGACGGCTCGTTTGGGCAGGACAAGGACGAGGGAAATGGGAGGATGGTGACGCACCTGAGTCAGTCCGCTAGCCCCAAGGAGATAAACTAAAGCTTGATGCGGTGCGTCGAGAGGCCGAGACACACACACCCAAACGCGCAAAGATGAGAGGAGGGAGAGAGGAGCGGCCCCAGGTAACTGGCGACGACACGGCCCCATCCGGACGCGGTCTCAAGGCCCCCAGATCTCCGGAGCGCCCCCCTCCCCGGCCACCTCCGGAGGTTACTGTGGTCGCATCTCTCCGCCCTGCCCCGGCCGGGCGACCTCCCCTCCCCCGCGGCCGTGCTCCCCGCCGCCCGCGAACGCGGCTCCCCAGTGTCCTCCAGAACGCCGGCGTGGCTGTCGAGTCTCGAACCCCGGCGCCGACCCCAGCCCTCGGCGCGCGCGGCCGAGTCGCCCGCCAGCCTTTGGCCCCCGCATCAATCATTA